CATTATTTTTCATATGCATCTGTTTACATAGAGATCGCTCGTTTCTCCATCCTGTTCACGTGTGTTTTTGTTCGGGAGGTTTTGTACTCGTTCAGAAGATGTGTAATAGCGCCCCCCGAGTGTATAACAGTGAAACACGAAAAGCCGTAAAAACTCGTCTTTGGCGGGGAAGTGTTTTCTTCTAAAAGACGAGATAACTTGCGGGGAAAGAGTTAAAGGTGTTAAGGGTACCCTTTGTAACTTGTAGACTATGACTACAATTAAAGGTACATACTACTAGTCAAAGGTTTGTGGTCAGTAAGGTTAACTTAATAACTTAACCAAATAACTTAAAATAACCCTTTTAAATTTTAATACCTTTTATATTTTAATACATTTTAAAATGTAATTTATTTCTGTGATGCAAATCTGAATTTTCAGCATCATCACTCCAGTCTTCAGAGTCACATAATTCTTCAGAAATCATTTTAATATGCTGTTTTGCTGCTCAAGAAACATTTCTTATTATAAATGTTGAAAATAGTTGTGCTGCTTAATATTTTTGTGGAAACTGTAGTGCTTTTTTCAGGATTCTTTGATGAATAGAAAGTTCAAAAGAACAGCATTTATTTGATTATGTAGAAATGTTTTTTAACAATATATATTAAATGTCTGCACTGTCACTCTTTCTGAATAAAAGTATTTATTTCTTTAAAAAATATAAAAAAATACAAAATCTTACTGACCCCAAACTTTTGAACTTTACAGTATATATAATTTTATGCTGTCACTCTAGTGATCCTGATGGCATTTGTCCATCACAAACCATGTTGATCCTAAACATAACAGTTTCTTTCTCTAATTCTCTAATTGTTTGAAAAAAGACTAGTCTTTACTCATTTACTCACACACTTCATTAAATTTCTTGGTTCATTTTCGATGACATTTATGCGTTTCGATGACATTTATGCAGCCTCCAATGTTTATTCATAAACACCTACTCATGGATTTCGTTATAAAAAAAAAACCTTGGCTCTTGGACTTTTGTGAGTTTGTGCAGAATTACACTCTAAACGTATGTATTTTGCACCAGCCTGAGCTTGTCGGAAATGTGCTGACAGTGGAAATAAATATCCCGACACATTTATTTCGAGGTGTCGTGATGTGTCCGTTCATGAGCACACAGTCCCATGCATATTTAAACAATAAGGCAAAGCCTGGTGCCTGTCTTTCTGCTCGGCCAGAGAGCTGGAGCCTACTGTAATCGCAACCAGATGCATGCATAGCCAGAGAGAAAGAAAGTGAGAGAAAGAGAGAGGCTTTTGACAAGCCTTCTCTCAACACCAGACTGCGAATCCAAACGTGGGGCTGAGGCCAAACATAACATTTCATCAATCTTGTTTCACTGACAGCGAAACGGCATCAAACAAAGGGGCTCTTAATGGCTTTCTCCCGGCTTAGTATTTGCCCTCAAATTCAGAAGATGAAAGCCGGACGTGACCGTGGGCCTGTTTCACGCTGTGAAATGGGTTGGGAAAGAGCGCGCACGAGAGAGAGTGAGAGAGGGGGCTCTGGAACTTAAACGCGAGTGTTCGGGAGAATCGCTGTGCTGATGACAGGGCCGTGTTTGAGCCAGAAACGAGTGGGGGGGTTCAAAATATCCACATTCACATTCAGGGGTCATCTCTGAAAAGGAAAAGAAAAAACGGGACATAGTAAAAGTACCAAGCGGGGCAAAAAAGCAAGCCAATTGCAATGGAGCAGCTCCAGTGCGATAGCTGAGGCATCCAGGCATTCAGGGTGTGCGCTGACTGAAGATCAGGGCCAGAGTCATGTCACACAGAGATGAGAGATGAGAGAGGCTTTTCTCACTGCAGCATGCAAACTAAAAAGCCAACATACGTCCATTCACAGAGAGCATGCGAGAGATGGGTCAAGCATGATGAGCAGAACTCGAGAGAACAAAAAACTAAAACAAACACAAGACAATGATGACACTAAGTGAACAGTGTTTACATACTGATCGTTACATACAGTATAAGCTAGTGATCTTCTATCATTCATTTTGCTCTTTTCTATTTCAAATGCAAAACAAACACTGATTCTACAGTAGCACATAACGGATGGAAAAGCAACAGTCACTGTAATGAAATTAAAATGCAGCAGATGCGTTAGGGAAAAGAAGCCACGGACACAGAGCAAAGGACATTGACATGTGGCTTCGATGGCCAAGGTCTCCAGTCACAGTGTGACATTCATTCGTCCTATCATTTTTTGTCTGCACTAACCCCCTCTCTATCAGAGACGGGGACGCGTGTGAGTCACACAACCACACCTGGTTCTGGATTTTGACTTACTTTCTGCCTCGTGTCGAGTTATAACTCCCTCCGAATTTCTTCCGATTAAGGATGAGAGCAGCAATTTCTGGCACGTAGCGAGCAAACATGGCCTACATGCATGGAACAGAAAAAGAAAAGTGCATGCAAAGAGGGGTTCTGCTGTGACCAAAGCCACAGAGGCACCTGGAATACTTACTTTCTGCCATTTACCGCACTATAGGAACCACCATATTTCTTGCGGTTTCCTATTAACTCTATGATTTCAGGGACGTAGCTGGCAAACATGGCCTAAGGAGAAGATAGGAGACAGAAGCAGAGGCTAAAAAAGCGGAGAGACCCATCCGAGTCTGGACATTTTTCCCCCAACCTCTGAGGTGCAGAAATTGACGTGTTTGGTCCAAAAACAAAATGATGTAGCTTGGTAAAATGTCAATTTTTTGTTTGTTCGTTTTCTAATTTAAATAATGAGCAAAAAATACTTTAAAAAAATTTATAAATGTCCATTGTGCTTCTAAAAAGATCTGAAAGAAAAAAAATTCAAATTGAAGGGAAAATGGAATAATGGACAAAAGGCCAACTTTGGAGACACTCCACTATTTTTCAGGATTCACAGATGAATAGAAAGTTCAAAAGACCAGCATTTATTTGAACATTATAAATGACTTTACTGTCACTTTTGATCAATGTAATGTGTCCTTGCCGACTGAAAGAACTAATTTCTTTCCAAAAATAAAACCTTTTGAACTGTACGAAATACGGCTTAGCGATAAAAACATACAACACGCACACGCAGAAGCCCAGTGTCACAAGTAGCACGAATCAGCAAGCGATGAGCGACTCACACGACGCCACAAGCAATGAGATGATATGTGCCATTTGACCCCAGACCCTCATAATAATACGACTCCCTGTGGAGGAGCACCTCTGACGTCACAGGAAGCACTACAGCGACTTCCTGTGAGGTCAGAGTCTGCGCTCCTCCACGCCAGACCCTGCGGAAAATAAGAACCTATTCATTAGAGGTTCGGTGTCTTCAATCCTTTGACTTACTTTCTTCCTTGGGTCGAGTTATAACTCCCTCCATATTTCTTCCGATTAAGGATGAGAGCAGCAATTTCTGGCACGTAGCGAGCAAACATGGCCTACATGCATGGAACAGAAAAAGAAAAGTGCATGCAAAGAGGGGTTCTGCTGTGACCAAAGCCACAGAGGCACCTGGAATACTTACTTTCTGCCATTTACCGCACTATAGGAACCACCATATTTCTTGCGGTTTCCTATTAACTCTATGATTTCAGGGACGTAGCTGGCAAACATGGCCTAAGGAGAAGATAGGAGACAGAAGCAGAGGCTAAAAAAGCGGAGAGACCCATCCGAGTCTGGACATTTTTCCCCCAACCTCTGAGGTGCAGAAATTGACGTGTTTGGTCCAAAAACAAAATGATGTAGCTTGGTAAAATGTCAATTTTTTGTTTGTTCGTTTTCTAATTTAAATAATAAGCAAAAAATACTTTAAAAAAATTTATAAATGTCCATTGTGCTTCTAAAAAGATCTGAAAGAAAAAAAATTCAAATTGAAGGGAAAATGGAATAATGGACAAAAGGCCAACTTTGGAGACACTCCACTGGTTTGGAGACACATAAAAAAAAGTTTGTCGTGCTGTCAATCTTTATTTTCTCTGACAGCACAAAAAACTGTCTTCAGAGAAGGAAGAGAAAAAAGAAAAAAAAACCTACATGCCATGTTTTGTCCAACAAACACTAATGCAAGTGGCAAGTGGATTTGAATAGTCCAGTCTGATCGCCCACAGCTGCAAAGAACATTAAGACTCATTAGTGTGCTTTAAATGAGCTGGATGCACTTTGCAAGATTGCAGCCTTGACAAAGTTCTGTTTTATCTCCATGCTGTGTGTTACTATGGATCTTAATCCCTGAGTTGTCAGCCTGACCTCCCGAAGAGAGTTGTGAGAGGTTCTTCACCTCTCTATAGGGCCCTGATGAATTATGACATCTGCCTGATCAGATCTGACGGTTTACAACATTTCCACACTTGAAGTCATTCATTGAACACCTGATATAAAGCAGAGCAGTGATTATTTCCAGCCCTTTTTAAAAACAAAAAGAAATAGCAGATTGCTATGGAAACTTCTGGACAGCTGGAACTTCGTGTCCAGTGCAAGAACTGAAGCGCATCTGTCCTGCATTATGTCGATATAAACTTCACATTAGACCTTCTGAATGCCTGTGGATGATCAATACATTGGGCAATATATATTGATTCTTGAATCTGAATATATTTTGAGTAATTTCTTTTTAAATGTTTCTATGAAAGTGTTTCAAAATGACATCATTATTCAAAAATGATTAATTGTAAAATGTGTATACGAGTTACCTTAAGGAGCTATTTCTACCTGATCTAAACCATTATTGCAATAGTGTAACCAAATTTATTTAGGTTCAGTTTTGGTATTTTACTTCTTTACTATATAAAAACGTTTTATTTTAACTTGTTATTTAAAATGTTTTAAATGCAATGTTAAAATGACGGTAATTTGAATGATAAAATCATGTTTTTTTTTTCGTGTAATCGACTATTGTTTTCAGTGTCGACTAGTAGGAGCTGTACCGTTTAGTCGACTAGTCGACTAGACCCGCACATCCCTAATAAGTATATATAAATATAAGATCCTAGATCATTTTTGTTTTAATCATGGATATGTTGTGTGGTGTATTAGTGGAGGTGATGATCTGTGTTGTGTATATACATGAAAATTGTCTAGTATTTAAATGGAAATGATTGAATGATTTTAGTAACTGAACATTGGCTAATGAACGATGACGTCAATATAATTAGTGATTTGAAAAGTGGGTGGAGGGATTGAATTGCTTTGCATACTGAGGAAGGCTTTGAGTGGAAACGTTTGTGTCTTTTCCCATTAACGATGAATGTAAAATAAAACGAAAAAAGAAGACTGTTTTCGTGAGTGTGGATCATGATCTCCTATACTAGGTATTTTACTTCTTGCAATCAATCTACTCAGCCACAATAGCAATTTAGTTGAATTGCCATTTTCCACTTAATTATAATTTTACCAAAAACTTCCTGCAAAACGTCTCAGGTTACATATGTAACCATGGATCCCTGAGTAGGGAACGAGACACAACCTAGAGGACGCAGTTCGAAGTTCCCATGAAAGGGAACATACACATCTAGTGTTTTCTGTGTTATTTCTGTATATTTTCCGGTATCCTCATCTGAAGTTACTCTGGTGTAAATGCACTTATAAGAGTGTTTTTGGCTGCTGTTGCTATGGTGACGCTCAAGCAGGACTATGGGCCATCCGACTGCCACTGTGTTTGTTCTGAGGAAGGCTTTGAGTGGAAACGTTTGTGTCTTTTCCCATTAACGATGAATGTAAAATAAAACGAAAAAAGAAGACTGTTTTCGTGAGTGTGGATCATGATCTCCTATACTAGGTATTTTACTTCTTGCAATCAATCTACTCAGCCACAATAGCAATTTAGTTGAATTGCCATTTTCCACTTAATTATAATTTTACCAAAAACTTCCTGCAAAACGTCTCAGGTTACATATGTAACCATGGATCCCTGAGTAGGGAACGAGACACTGCGTCCTCTAGGGGTCGCTATGGGGAAACCTAGAGGACGCAGTTCGAAGTTCCCATGAAAGGGAACATACACATCTAGTGTTTTCTGTGTTATTTCTGTATATTTTCCGGTATCCTCATCTGAAGTTACTCTGGTGTAAATGCACTTATAAGAGTGTTTTTGGCTGCTGTTGCTATGGTGACGCTCAAGCAGGACTATGGGCCATCCGACTGCCACTGTGTTTGTTGGAATTCGGGGAGGGAAACAGAAGGATGGGATCTCCTGAAACCGCTTTAAGAGAATAGCAACAACATTATCGTCAAAATACATTTCTTTAAATACTAATTTAAATGCAATAAACATAATAAGGGATAGTGTCATATAGCATAAAAAATTACAGCACAAAAATTTACTAAATGCATGTACTTTTCATCTTAACTTGGGCTGTAATGGTGAAACAAGGTTATGGATCTTAACGGCAGGGGAGTAAACATTACAAAGACAATGGACATATACAATATGGTAAAAACAGTGTAATAATTTGGGCTATCATGAAGACTGTGGTATGGTAAAAACAGTGTTATAATTTCAAGACTGTGGAAAGACGACAGTTATGAGGGTGTCAGATCACAGGAGTTTTGCATGATTTTTAAATGGTAGTTGTTTGCATTGGGGAAGGGGAGGGATGCAGGAGTGCCAACAAGAGGAAAATTGATTTTACCAGGCCACCAAGAATGAAGAAGACCATGAAAAGGCGTCCAAGAGTGGTTCTTGCATAGACGTCTCCATATCCCACCGTGGACATAGTGACCATTAATAAGTACACACATTCCCAATATGAGAGCGGTTGAGAGTTTTGGAAGTTTTCCCATGGATCCCCTGAGTTTTCCACCTGCCACAGGAAGGAGAGCAAAGAGTGAATTACTGACAGATCTAAACACGATCCTCTACAGCCATCTACTGTCCATACAGAAAATCACAAGGATGAATTGTGACAGGAACCAAACTGAGGATTTAGTGGCGATCAGTCTCTGCTGCCATCTAGTGGCACAGATGTCCTCTGGCACATCCTGATAAAAACAAAACAAAAACAAAAAAAAAACACGAAAAAAGAACCACAAAACACCAGATCTTTAGATGAACTACAACACAAACCACATATGCCACAAAGGGACAGACGTGTTCCTCCCACGAATCTGCATGTGCACTCCTCTCTGTGTCATTTCTCCAGGGGCATGGGGAGAGAGGGGGGCGTGTGTGTGTTTTTTCACTCACCAGATGAATGAATCCTGCAGCAGTGAGCCATGTGCTTATGAAGATGGAACACAGGTTCACCAGCTTGATGGAATTACTGTGAGAGACGAGAGTTACATCACACCTCTCAAAGTGAAACGCATCACACTGACGTACAGATCAGTCAGTCATCTATTGAGCCCAACACACACACGATCGCTTTGCCTTGACGCTGCTCGCTGGGAGTGAACACACAGGTTATCAGCAAACAAATCAGAAGATAGTGGGATCTCGAGGACGACCAACGCATATTGGAGCTGTTAAGTCTATAGGAGCGTTTACATTGGCGGTTATTACTCGAATGCTGTATCTGTGCCACGTTGGTGTGAATTTTGCACCACCTCAAATCACCACTCTCACAAAAATACGAATCATTTTCGATCACTGCAAATCACCGTCAATGTGAATGCCCCTTCTTCAGCAGTCAATGAGAGAAAATACAGTGGTGCAAATGTAACGCCCTGTTGACAGCTGTGTCAGTTCGGTGTGATATATCTTAGCAATTTCCCCCAACTGAAAAACAAGATGGCAGCTAAAATAAATGAAACGTCCAGCAGTTTTACAACCACTGAGTTGGGTGCTGACTGCTTTTTCTCCAATTCCTTTCGGAATCATTGACATTTACGAAATACCACTGCGGTGTCAGGAGGCGCTCATCTGTCGTGTGTGACAGCCTGGCGGAGGAGGAATCAATCAGAGGCCTGTCTGCTTCACACTCCTGCATTCATCAGGCTGTTCTCTTACCTACAGCACACTAAATGCACACGTAAAAAACATTCTGCTCAGCTACGAGCCCTGCAGACTTCTGGGTCAAAGTCACAGAGGTGTGTGGTAAGCGATGGAAGGGACACCGGAGACTCCTAAGGAGCTGTAGAGACTGTGTGTGTTGATGCCAGTGGAGTGGAGTGGAGCTTTCGAAACTGAGAGTGAGAGAGGTGCGTGATATGTTGTTGGCCTTACCTTGTTTTTAAGATATTCAAAAACTGTAAAATTTCTGAGAACTGTATCAATCTCAAGGCTCTTAGAAACCTCAGACCTGCAAGAGAAAGGAGAAAAGCAGACGAGAATCAATAAAAGGGTTATTGTAAAGCAATGAACTGTTCAAAATGGAACACCAGATTACTGCATATTAGATTCTACATTCCATTTTTAAGACCCCATAATTGGCAATAATTGGCTCAGTTTTCTTTCTTGCTCTGACACATTTCAAACAAGCTTTTTTTTTTGTTAAAAAGCTTTAGTTTTTAGTTTTACACCACAGCCATGAACTAATGATTTGCTACTTGCTAAGTGTAGTAGGTGGTAAAAGGAGAGTCATCAGTATTTTATTTTTAAAACCTTATATTTTATGTGTAACAGCTAAAAGTTGTTTTTGTTGTTTGTTTGTTTTTTTTTTGGTTCTTTTTCAGACCAATTTTAGAAGGATTACCTCAGTGCTATGAAAAGTAACAATAATAATGGTAATATTTCATAATAGTAATATTTTATGGGTCTTCAAAAATAGTATGTGAAACAACATAGTATGCAATGATAAACATGTCAAACAGTAGTAACCTGCTTCAGTGGTCACTGTTGTCATAGTACACTCATTTATTAACACAAATAAATTTAATAATACTCCTTTTTAATAATTCAATGTTGTTAAATGACTACATTTTAAAAGCCCAATCAAATAATGAGTCACAAATAAAAAGTCCATTTATTTTTCTAAAAGGGGATATATATTGCATGCAGTGTACTCTACTTCAGTACTGCACATTCTGGCAAATACAGTGGCTCATTCATAAATATATATTTTTGTGTAGCGTGCACAAACTGCATTCAGACACGGACATCTTATGAAAACATTTCCAGTCACCATTTTCATTACAATTAAGTAGGGATGGGTATCGTTAAGGTTTTAACGGTATTACTACTCTTACCGATACTGCTTATCGATTCGGTACTTTAACGGTATTCTTATCGGTACTTTTTGTTTTATATATATATATATATATATTATTTGATCGTTTGGACATGCGCCCGAAGCTCAAAGTGTAATTTGTTTGTCCGTTTTGGAGCGCGCCCACCACATTTCAGGCTGAACAACAGCTCTTGTGCGGATTGTGCTTTCAACATTTTATTATCAAACATGTCCCGCAATTTAGCAACAGTAAAGACGGCATTTTACAACAATCACCGACTGAGCTGATTCTGACGTTAAGTTTGGGTTATAGGGAGGAACGAATGCGCACCGCTGTGAAGGGAAAGAAGTTGCGCAAGACGAAACGCAGCTAGTTTTTACTAGCTCTACCTCATTTCTTCTTTTGTATAATCCTTAGAAGCCAAAATCGAAATAAAAAAAAATAAGCTTAATAAAACCGCCACAGGCCTAAAGTGTAAGCAGATGTTTGAATGTTTAGTTCTCTCTTCTATCATAATTAAACAGGGCTTTCATGTTGCGCGTGCTGAAGCTTCTGAATTGCGAATAGCAAAAATGCATCATAGAGAAATGTTTGAAAAACAGCTGGCGACTCTGGTGAGATAGAATTTGCAAGATAATGTATATATAGCAATAATAAATGTATGTGTGTTTTCTTAATTTCTCCAGTACCGATAAGAGAACCGTTAACGTCAGAGCTTATCGATACTCCGGTCTTTCACAATCATATGATGAGGAGGAAATACACTTTTCTGTATATAAAAACTTTTTTTTTTTTACAAACTTTTTCCATTTTTTTTTTTTTTTTTTTTAAACAAAACTACTTTACTAGCAAAATATTGTTTCTTTCTCATACTTTTTGAAAATGTCTGAAATATGATCTGGACATGTACTTGACCTGTCTTGTGAGATTCAACTGTGTAAAAAATAATGTTAATGTTACATGTTTTGGTTGTCATAAACTTTAAACTTCAATCAGTTTATTCCGGCTTAGAGCAGAGAAAGAACCACCATGGAACAATCACACTTTTGTGTGTGTGAGAGCGAGAGAGATGTAGGTGCTGAAATGAGTGCATCACGAAGCAGATTAGAGAACAATATCACCAGCTTCAGCAGACTTCTTACATAAACAGCATTTTTCCTGCCTTCAGTCTCACAAACATCATCTATTCAGAAACACAGCATCTTAGCTTCTGCTGCAATTCGTACAAAAATGAATCAAAAAGGTTCCTGATAAGATTCACCAGTTTCACTTTGCAGAAATATTTTTAAGGCAAGTTTGATGTTATCTTCAGCAATAGGAAACAAAAACACTGCAATAAACCCCCTAAAAACTCTTGCACAAAGTAAACAAGTGAAAAATTCTAACTGCACAGTTTCTGCAAATATAGTATTAAACTACAAGTTCCCAAGAAAGGATGTCTTACCCCAGTTAGACAGCACATGGAGGCAGCTCTGGCTGTCACTCTCTTTGCTGTCTCCTATCTGGCCTGGGCCCAACTTCACACGGTAACCATTCTGAAACAGGTCAGCACATGACTTTTTGCGCCGTCGGCTCTCTTGAACGGTTTCTGTGACCAGAGTGCCCCGTGGGCCCCGAAACACTAGCAACTTGCTGGAGATCATGATTCTGTGATCCTACTCCTTTATAAGTTCAGAAACGCAGAATGTGACGCTTCCTCAGAACTTAAAAGATGTGTAAACCTCAGATGTACTTGATCAAAAAAAATCTAATTTGCTCAGAGAGAAAGAAACAAAGTTTCCCTAGGCATGAACGTCAGAATGTATCCAGAAGACTGTTTAACAATACTAAAAACCCTTCAAGCCTAGACAGTGACACCTGCCATTGGCTGAAAACCCTGACTGAAGCCACAATCTCTGACATATTTGGTCTGATCTTTTCAGTATTAAACTCCCACGCATGCATCTTTCCTTTGACCCTTTCTCTGTTTTAGTGAGTTGATTAGATTTTGTATACACTGAACCCTTCTAGGGATTTCAAATGGAAAAAAAACTATCCTGAATTAATCACAGGGCTTGTACTAGCAATGATGTTTTCTCATGCTGTTTTTTTTAAACAGTACTGCCCACTGAAAGCTGTGCCTGATATAAATGAAATCTCTGTCGATTTGACACTTATCGTCATACCACCCAGCCATGTAAAACAATAATCACTTTTGCTTGCTTCATTTCACTCATGTCCAGCAGTCGTCTATCTCAGAATTCGTTAACTGCTTTTGTTTGATTCCACAGACAAGTCCATATGTCACAGATGTTTGCTTCTGCTGAGATAGCAACAGTACAATTTCTTTTGTCATCTGTATTTTATAATTAGTACTAGAGCCCTGCACGGGCCTCAAATATAGGCCCTAGCCCGGCCCTGGCCCGAGACGCTCAGGCCCTAGCCCGGCCCGTGTCCGACAGCTTATCAGAATTACCGGCCCGAGCCCGTCTCCCCCCTCCCCCCCCTCTCCCAAAACAGCTTATACTACTGTTTCAGCTATTAAAATAATTAAGTTTTGTTAAGTTAGAAAAACGTTTGGAGCATTTTTTTGTTTACAAGTAATGGAGTTCATCACTTAAACAGGCACTGATGTTCCATACAGAGCACAAAAAATACAAACCATCACAAAAATTGTTTTTAGACAAAGTTTTCTTAATTTGATAAAAATGGAAGAGTGCAGAAACATAACACCTCTTACACCTTAACAAAATATAAAATAAAAAACAATGGCAGACATTTAGGGAAAGTGAGCAAAGATAAAAATATTTGTCATTATTTTATCTTTGTTATTAGAAAATAAGAACAAAGATATACATTACAAATACACATAATATACAAATAAAACAAACATTTTCAGGTTTTTCAGGTACAGTATTTAGCAGTAACATTCAAGAAATTGAATGAACAAATATTAAAATAAAACACTATATACACTACATACATCAATTATACTTTTTTTCTGTGTTTTGTTGTTTTATTAACATTAAAAGAATAGTTCACCACAAATGTGTTCATCTGTCTTTCAATTCTGTAATAGTGTTTCATTTTTATACCATCATTTACTCAAGTTGTTTTAAACCTGAATTAATTTATTTCGTCTGTTGAACATAAAAGTTATTTTTGAAGAATGTGGGTAACCAAGCAGTTGCTTGTCCACAGTAACTTCCATGGTATTTTTTTCCTACTGTAAGTCAGTGTGGACCATCTACTGTTTGGTTACTCACATTCTTCAAAATATCTTCTTTTGTGTTCAGCACAAGAAAGAAATTAATACAGGTTTAAGACAAAATGTGAGTTTGTAAATAATGACAGAAATTTAATTTTTTGGGTGAACTATCCCTTTAATGACAGGCAGCAGCATGTTTAGTAGCTACTGTCCCTTTAAAAGCTGCACGCGTTTCTCTCCCAACTGTTTACTTTCATTTTAGACATAGCCAACTGTGTTTATATGTAAACCTTTTTGACAGTATTAGACACGAAATCAATCAGACGCTTTTTGACAGGCTCTCAGTGTGAGCGCGCTTCATGAGTACTCAGAAAAAGCGCGTGCAGAACAGCACGTGAAGACAGGCTCTCAGTGGCGCTTCATGAGTACACGCTCAGAAAAAGCTCGTGCAGAACAGCACGTGAATTAAATGTTTAACCGGTTATTGCTTTAAAGCAGATGGAAATAATGTAGTTTTGTGATTGCGCATAAGTGTAGTGTCCCATGAGAGTAACTCTACCGCTGAGCTAACACTGAAGTGAACGCATGTGGCGATGTACATTATATTGAGACGGAGGGAGGCGCCAGAACTGCAGCTGATAGAATGTGCGCTGTAGCACGATACAACAATATTTCTTCAAAAGCAGATCATGGAGACATTTTAATAGTCCACGATCAAAAATCGTCATATCGGTCGCACACCCCTAACTACCAAGTATAATCAATCTCACACACACAAACAAGCACAAGAAATCACTTCACACTATTAAGCGGCTATGTTATGAACAAGCAAAACTGTATCGCACGCGTGCTACAGTGGTAAATTTATTCATCGCACAGACCAGTTTTTTCGTATATGTCGCACTGTACAGCCCTGTTTAAAGTAACGACCAAGCGGCCAGCGGC